TTGAAAAGTAAAAGTCTGGACAAGTGAAGTGTTTCACATTTGAGTTAGTTCTCTCACAGCTGTGGAGTCGGGATCCTTGGCCAGGCTTATCCCGCTCACAGTCAGGTCAGTGGAGGCTAAAAGGTGAAGAAGAATTGAGCATTCCCGACAATCACACAGTGGAATTTAAGTCTCAGAAACCAAAATGGCAGATCTAGGCTGCTACTAACTTTACCTAGGAAATTCAAGCTGTTTCGAAGCAGCTGATAGGCCGTCATGGTGTTACTGATCCGGTGATTCATCAACAGGTAGGCCAAGAGCATGGAGGCAAGGAATCCATTGAAGCAACCAGCACCCTAAGAAGACATTTTGACAAAAATGCAGCTGTCATATCTTGAACAGATAAGCAATATGAAAAGCGTGTAAACCACGTAGTGCAAGCTGCCGACCTGGTCCAGCTCTCTTTGATGAAGCCAGACTTTCAGCAACGCTACCCCATCAGAAAAAGCCGAGCACTGGGAGCCGATGGCAGACAGAAACTGGAGGTGAGCCCTCGGCAATAAATCTCCCAAAATAGAGCCGTTGTAGTGTGGAGTCGGAGGTTCGCTGTTCTCTGAAACACAAGTAAATGAGAAACATTTGATAATCAGAAAAATCTTAACGAAGTTGAGGAAAACTACCTGCTCACCGTCGGAGTCAAATTTCTGGCAAAATACAGATTTTTGACCATTCACATGAAAATGGTAGAGTTCATTCCAGAAGCTTCATGTAAATCTGCATTATCAGTTCCAAAATGAGTTTTAACACATGCTTTGGATCTTTGTCCTGTTGGAGAAGCCAACTTTGTCAAAGTTTCAATCATCTGACCCAAAACGTCACCTTTGGACGAAAACAATATGGAGATTTTTGGCCACAACAGCAGTGAAAGCATGGCGAGTGGTACATGCTGCCAGTGGTATTAGTGCGGATTTGACCAGAAAAGTATCAATCTGACCCTCATAGAAAATATTCTGCAATAAAATCAAACTTGTATAGCCATTTTAGGTTAAAATGCCCTGAAATTGTATTATTGTCACACCTGACACAAAAATGGATGGACAGATCAGAACCTATTAGTCAAATTACCGATAATCAGGGGGGAAAGGTTGTGGTTATTAGATGGGAAATAATTGAATTTAAATTGAAATAAATGGCATCTCTACCATCGTTGGAAGCCTGCAGTCCAGTATACCACTCTGTCCTGATGTTATTCCTCTGGGGGTGGAAACGACTGGGCTTGAAGAACCCAGGAGGCGGGCAGACATGAACACAGACAGTGAAGCTCGAAGAGTCTTTGCCTGAAACCCCCCCCCCAAAAAAACCCAAACAAAACAAAAGCAAAAGGTCACCAAAACACATCTGATCTCAGATAGTATATTCAACACAATATAAGCAACATCGTTAAAATCTTGAAGAATTTCATCTGGTAGGCTGTTCATGGTAAAATTATTTACCAGGGGGACTCAGCAGCAGGACCGGTTTGAGTCTGTTCCCATGGAGACAGGAATAACGCAACTCCCCGACGTCAGACGAGGATTTCAGGTGTTGGGCAAGTCCTGCAAGATAGAGGGCCCTTTTCCTGGGATACCTCTGGTTTAAGAAATCTTTTGGGTGCAAAACATCCTAACAGGAAAGAACAAAATGAACTGTTGTCAATAAATCAAGATTTATTTATTTATTTTTTTAACAACTATAATCAAGTCAAGGCTCAAACAAACATTGAGGCTTTAAAGGGATGGCTTACAGCTGGGATTGTAGCAGCGAGGTCCACCTTGATGTGTGGCTTAACGCAGGTGCCCAGGGGGTAGCTCCCGATCAGATCAACGGAAGCTGGAGGGGCCATGTGAAACTTTCCCTTTGTGGCTTTGGGCACCAGGAGAAAAGGAACCTTGACTGCACCAGACAGCCACGACAAATCGCTTACCTGAGCACAGAGTGAGAGATTGAGTGACAAGCCTAAGTCGTGCAGCAGAGATAACACTCTGTGTCTCACTGTGAAGCCTGTTCACTTCTCGCAACAATACACACCTCAACCTTTGGTGACACCGGCACAGTCTCGAGCAGCTCGGTGACGGTCTTAACGAAAGAGTCGATTTGCTGTTTCCTCCGTTCACTCAGGGAAACCTCCTTCAGCAGCTCCTCCATCTGTTATTAATGAAAGGTGTAAGATAGTGTTTATTTAAAAAAAAAAAAATCTTTCATGCATTCAAACACAGTGAAAAGTGCTACACAAAATAGGCACCGACACAGTCATTCAAATGGAATGTACACCTTTGCAAAAAGAACTTGGAATTAGTTCAAATTGTTCAAAACTGCAATAAACATACTGAAATATTTAAATAAATATAAAAATGCATAATTAAAGCAAAAATAGAAGTAAAATAACAGGAATATCATAAGTTGATGTTGTTTAATATGTAGACCTTAAAAATGACATAAATGACTAAAACTTTTTTCTTAAAAGTATACGTTAAACTGTAATCGCATCAAATGCTGCTTTTCCACATATAATTACATCAGCTCGCATGTGTTCACATAATTAAGCGATATAAAATAACACATAATTTAAAAAGTCATTACATTGCAATAACTTCAGTAACATTAATTATTAAAACGTCATTCCTCTGTGATCTAAATCCCTACTTAGACTGGGATCAACAAGCAGAATCAGCATTCTGAAGCAAACATAATTTGTAACCTGGAGCAAAATGGAAAAAACAAAAAACAAAACACACAGCACATGAGCAGTGAATTAGAAAGTGGGATGCGGGTGAGATTCAAAAGCTACTCAGTTGACTGGTAGGATGAAGACAGACTTGACTGGTCGCCAGTCAGCTTAAGACATTTTAATAAGGTTTATGAAGAGCCTGACTCAATCAAAACAGAAATACAAAAACAATCTGATCTTCCAGGCTGATTCAGAGTGAGAGAAACAGGACAGAAGCCTCTCACCTGCATCTTCAGAAGGCTGCAGTGGAACAGGCTTTCGGCTTCTTTTAGGTGATTTAGCTCCTCGGCTGTTGGCGGTCTGTATAAATCATTCCGGGACAGTTTCACCGGATGGTAGACCACCTCCTCCTCTTCACCGGATTTCACCCGTTTGGGTTTTTTCGGAGCACCGAGCTGCTCTTCTCCATCACCAAGAGAGAAATCAGACGGAGGCATCTGGAGAACAAACGACAATGGATCAACTTCAACGTGATGCAACATATTTTGACACAGACGCATCTCAATAAATTAGACTACCATGAAAATGTTTTACTTCAGTAAAACTTTGATGTCTCCCACACACAAATATATATATAATATACAATTGAAAGAAACTTTTTCATATAGAAATTTTGTATTACCTGTATTATGGCCACGGAAGACCACTGACTTGAAAGTTGTCCAGCAAACGGCCATTCACATCTTTATTAAGGAGGTAACCCATAAAACGCAATAGCTAAAGAAGCTATTTATTCAGAGAGATTCAAAGTATAATGATGGGGAGTTGAGTGGAAAGAAAAACTGTGGTCTAAAAAGGTGTCCAATTAACAAGGACAGTTGGAGCCTTTAGAGCAACTTGCTGAGACACTAAATTCTGTGTTATATTTTTCTTTACTGTAAGCCCTAATTATACACGTTAACAGAACTAAAGGCTCAGTATGTGTGTATTCGATCTGTATACAATCTATTCATTGTGAGTTTTACACACTGAAACAACGTAACTTTCCAAAATATTCCAATTAAAACGAGGTACTAGCATTGATATCTAGCATTTAAAAACTACTCCAGTAAAAAAGTAAAGGTTTGCACTGGACAAAAACGTGGATCAAATTATATGCTACAAGTTATCGCAGGAAAAAGCAAGCTCTCAGCAACAGCACAACACTGACAATATGCTCTCGTACTACTAAATTGAATATCTCTGAATCAGACAACTCTTACCTCTCCAGGCTCTTCTGTTACTGTCTGCTTCTTTTTCATGTTGTAAAATGTTTTTCGCAGGAATGATGTAAACACGTCTTTCAGAAATACGGCTTAACACAGCTTCCTCTTCATCATGGTCTCACATGTGCCAAGGGAGCGTCTAACTTGCTATATGTAAAAATAGTTCTCTGATTGGTTCAGAGAGAATGTGGGAAGTGGCGATTGGCTGTTTCCTATCAGCTTTCACGCCTACGTCAGCAAGATAGGTTGCACGAGCACCGCTCTTGTGTCAGAGTATCTATTCATGAAACTGAGGGAATGTACCGCGGCTTTTATTTCGGTCAACAAAATGTTTTTATCCTTTCCAAATTTAATTAGGATTGCTAAGAATTTTATTTATGTAACATAAGGTTGTTTCTGTTTTCCAACCGAATAAAACATCTAATTTTCCGCTTAATTGGTCACTTATTTATACTCGTTCTATAATTGTTAGATTGTGTGGGGTGTTTCACACTTTCTGACTTGTCTTTTTATCACTAGATATGGTTCCCAGTCTAGTCACAGTCCCGGCCTATTTCTACACAGTCTAGTTTAAGCATGCATTGTTTCTGTTGGCTATCAAATCATAGTATTTACTTATTATTATTATTTTTTTTTGTCAGACGTTGATGTTAAATGTCGACTAAATATAATTTGTATTATGCTTGGTTTCTGTCATTACTCTTTGAGGCATGTTAATACGTTCTGGGCTCTTTGGCACCATTATCAGTTTTTACATGTGGGTCTGAAGTTGTATTTTCTGTTTCCGGAAGCAAAAAAATGAACGTGCTAAAGCCAGACTTTAAGTCTAAAAGCAAATAAAAGTCTTTTGAAAGAGATGAAGAACACAACCATCATTCAGTCAGGATGGTCACACTAAAACACAACATCTCTTCATATGCGATTTCTGGTGAAGATGGCGGCATAAATGTTTTGGACAGCTGGAAAAAACAGAAAATAATCATTTGCAAAGGTCTCAACTTTGTCTTATGGATATCAGTCATTTATAGATATTTGCAAACACCAGAGCATTTGTTGTTTATTATTTCTTTATTTCACACAGAGAAAATCTTTTTAGAACGCTGACAATGAGAAAGGAAATTCTGATTACATGTATAACTTAAAATGTATGATTTAAAAACTAAACTTTTATTACTACTTTCTCATAAAGGACAAAATATAACTTTCTTGCATTGCATTGAGCTTTTTTTCTTGTCATTAAGATCTAGATCATCTTTTTAAGCAGTGACAGTCATGTCAAGTCTTTCAATCAGGTGTCACAGTTCTTGGTCTGCGTTATTGGTGTGACTCGAGGTGTTGGACCAGCAGCAACCTGGTCAACTGAATATATCGGCACAGCAACATCACTCGGCATCGGCTTCAGATTGGTAGCCTGCGAAGGATAGCTCATTTTGGGAGGAATATTTTCAGCAGCTTGAGAATCCAAGAGAGAAACACCTTTGGCCAAAATCATCGTGTCGAGCCTCAGCGGGCCAAAGAGTTTAAGCCGTTCCTTGTCCTGCTTATGCAGATGGATGTTGTCGTAATGTCTTTGGTGAAACCTTTCTGGTGGTTCTTTGGAGATGGTCTTTGACGGTGTCTCTGCCCTTTTAGATTTCTGCTTAGTCGGTTTTGGCTCCAGTCTGGGTAATACACAAGATTTTCCGGGGCTAGGTTTTGCGAAGTCATTACTGACAATCTCATACTCTGGGCAAATGCAATGTCGAGGCAATCGCTTAGGATCCAGCTTTGGTATCGGCTGGAGGTCTTTGCAGCGATATCCCAGTGGGGTCTTGGAAGCGACGCTGTCTTTGTCTTCACCCTCTACCTCCACCTCCACCTCCACATCCTTTTTCTCTGACGAACCGGAGAGAGGTGGCAGTAGTTTCCTCCTAGTATCTTTGAGGGGCTTTCTCACCTGAATGAGCTTCTTTGAGTCACTGCTTTCTGGGGCACAAGTACTAGAAACATTGGATGTGAGGTCACTTTCATCCTTCTTCTCTTCCATTTCATCATGCTTAAAACCCAAGATTTTTAAGGAACCATGCCTAGATCGCCTTCGGGCACTTGACTCTGTGTGTGATGACTCTTGGTCACTACCAACGTCCTGTGAGAAAGACATAGAAAAACATTTAGACAGTGACTTGCAAAGGTTTTCATACCCCTTGAATAATTTTACATTTTATCACAATATTGCTCCAAACCTTAATGTAGTTTATTGGGATCTTATGCGATAAGCCAAGATAAAGTAGTGGATAACAGTAAATTGGAAGAAAAGTGGCACATGGATCTCAGCATGTGTAAAAGATAAAAATAAAAAAGTGTGGAACATTTTGTCTTTGCAGAACAACTCGAGCTCCATCAGATGGGATGGAGTCTCTAAGAACATTACCTCTTTCATCTTGCCACAGATTTTCAGATTTAGGTTTCAACTTTCTAAAATATGAATTTGCTTTGATTTATTCTGTAGTAGCCCTGGCTATAGGTTTAGAGCTGTTGTACTGCTGGATTGTAAACCTCCTTAAGTTTTTTGTGGCCTCAAACCTCCAGGATTGCCCTGTGTTTAGGTCCAATCTTTCTATCAACTCTGATCAGCTTCCCCGCCCCTCCTAAATACAAAATACTACCACCATCTTCCACTATAAGGACGGTGTGCTCAGTGGCATTTACAGTGCCAGTTTTCTGCCAAACACAGCTCTACGCGTGTAAGCTAAGGCATTTCATTTTGAGCTCACCTTACTGTATTTATAATGAAATTAATCTCTTTCCAGGTCTATTCACTAGGATACTTTTGAAGAAAATGTGTAGCAAGACACTTTATTTAGGGGCATCAGAGTAAAGTCAATTAACAGGATGAACATCATACCTTTCTAATTATTTTTGTGCAAATACACTTGAAAACCAAGTATCATTCTCTTTGTTCTGCCCCATCAAAAAAAGAAAAACAACAAAACTCTCAGATCTCTAGCTATACCATTAGAAAACGTTAAAAGTGAGTAGGAATGCTCCTGCAATGTCGAAGATTTGAACACAAATGTATTTTCAAAACAAGATTTAAATAAGAGTTACACAGCCAGTGGTACCTGTTGTGAAGTGCAATGAGATTGACTTACAGTATGGATTGTAGGCACACATCCTTGGGCCCAGCAATCTGGAATAGTCGACAAAGGCTCAAGGTCTTCTGTTGAAGCTAATTCTTCTGGTTCCTCTCCTTGATCCAGGCACAAGATTTGGCACTCCACAGTCTCAGTGAGGTAGTTCTTGACCCAGGACAAACTGTATGGTACAAGCTTGAACGCAAAGACCAGCAACATACAGTCATATTCAACAAATTAAAATATGCGTTTTGATGAGGCTTGTTGGTCATATTAAAAGCAACTTTTAAAACAAATGGTTAGCCAGGTGTTAAATATATGTTCTCCTTAAGCCTCCTTTACAAAGGTACTTTGTAATTGCTGTGATGTAATATTCTAATTGTTTTGTTTTCATTTGCTGTGGGTAGAAAAATCCTCATAATTAATGGAAATAAAAGGTTGAAAACATCAGTGTGTGTTTAATTAATGTAGAAAACGTGTGCCACTTAGTGAACTGAGTTAATAAAATCAATTACTTTTTAAATAGTATTGTAATTTTTTTTAAATGATAGTATGGAGCAAAAACAGATAACAAATAAAAAAAAAGCAATTTTTTGTCCAATGTGTGGCAGTTAATATTAAGTCGGTGATGAGATAAATTTAGACAATATGAAGTTTAACCTGTTTTTCAATGTATGATTTATAACAGCCATCCATGACTAGGCCTTGCAGGTCGTCCATTATGTCCCCCACTATTTCATCTGCATGGCTCAACATTTCTGTCCATTGGGGCCGACTGACTTGACTGGGGTTAACAACTTCCTCCTCCTGCTCCGGCACTGGGACCTCCTTGACATTTGCCTTTCCTTTTTGCTTATCCTTCTTGCGGACCTGAGAGGGGCGTTTCATCTTGGCTTAGAGGCTCTGTAAAAATGAAATACAATCAGAAGAAAACAGTTGGAAATCATCCAAATATTGCAATTTAAACTCATCGAACATCTTGAAAGCAATATAATTAACAAATGATCCTGAAGCGTCAACGTCAGGATCTAGTTGTGTGGAATTCATCTCTTCCAAGTCTTGATTCAAGACTTAACAGACCTTTCTGGTTCTCCTTTTGTTTTGTTTGCAAGACAATTGAATAATTTTGCTTTAACTATTGAACCAAATTCCTGTATAAGAACGGCATAACGGGGACTTCTACCTGTCTACCAAAGTAAGCAATAAAACCGCCTTTTGTAGTCCTAAACACCTAATCTTCCTGAGATGATAGTGTCTAATGGATGAATCTAAGTTTCTTCAGTCATTAGAGACGGTAATGGCTGTGGGAAGGAAATATTTCCTACACCTGATATGTATTAAAGTGCATCTGAAGTATTCTCTGACTGAAAATATTCAGTTGTCACATCACACTTTTGTTAAAATCATACTAATGGTTGTGAATTATCTCCTTCATTTGATAAAAAAGCAGTGTTCCCTGTCGTATTTTATAGAGCGGTTCCCTTTAAATTCTCCAGGCCAGTCTGTTGTCTCAGTGAACAACACAGATGTATTTATGCTCCTTTACCACCTCCAATTTTTATGCATGTGTGCACCTTCTGACGGTTCTTTTCCTCACATGTTGCTTGTGAACAAGCGGCTTAAACACGATTATGCCGATTAGGTCTGACAGTTGTTAAATGAAGGAACGCCATATTGTTAAGTGGTGAATTAGCATCGTTTTATGATGACTAACTATCCCTGATTAAAAAGAAAGTGGTGCATCTTAACACGAGACTTCGCCCAATAAAAATGTATTTCAACAGATGGAACATTAGTAAGAGAGTATTTGAGACGTACCTCACTAATTTATACACGGAAAAAACTTTCTAAGTCGCTCTGGTACTCGTCACCCACACAATCTATGGTTGCTTAGCAACCCCCATGACGTAGCACGCAGAAGTGCGTTGTCTCTATGGCTGCGGAGGACGCATTAGTAATCCTGCCGCTTGCTTGAAAGCTGCTCTGTCTTTTGTATGCAATGTTTTATGAGAAAATACTCCATAATGACAGCTGAATACAAAGACAGGCTTTGACTGATCATCAGAAACAAGGGTATGAACAGTGCGTTTCGTAAAAATGTCAATTATAGTCTTAATTCATAGTATTTAATAGCAATCCTTGCTAACATTATTAGCATGCTAGACATAGCATTCACATTTGCTTCTAAGAAGCAACAGTTTTCGTGTATGTATCCTAAATTTACACCACCTGTTGTCTTCTGATTATTTATTTTCTTCTGTCTTTAGCGAACGTCAGTGAACGCAGTTTTTATAGTAACTCTGCGCCATGTTTCACAAGGAAAAGAGCATCCAGCTTAAAAACAGCGCATCGGCGCTGTACAACAACCTGAGCGTGCTTCGCATCGCTCCGAGGCGCCTTACCTATTTCACAGTCGTCCATGCAAACGTTGTGAACATGGTAAGCACGTCCTGGGACGGCCTCAACTACTCCCACCGTCAGCTGCAGTCCAAAGAACCCAATGTTGCCACAAGCACATCGCTCATCATGCAGGTTAGCTCATAGAGCAACCACAGCTGTGTGTCTCCATATCTGTTTTACCATCTACTCACAGTGATCAGTTTCTTGTGTTACATACATGGTTTGCGTGAAACAGAATAAAAGACATCTCAAAGTTTTCGTAACCATTTTGTAATTGATTGGCAAATCAACAGACATCACTGGCAAAGTTAAACATTAACATTTAGTAGGCTGAAAAATTGGCTCAAGAGAAATTGTCCACATGGTAACTGATCTTATAAGATTTTTATAACAACTATGTCAGCACAAGACCCACATACTCGGTTCAACTTGAGTGGCTCCTGTACTAGTATCACATTCTGAACCCAGGCCCACTTAGTTCATATTCGATGTGAATAACAATATTTTTGGGACTAACATAAGATATTGGCTCTGATATTTGGTAAGCTGTTTCTCTTAAAATTTTATGTAGCCCTTGTTACTGCCAGTTGTGTGCATGATACATCGACACTTGATGATGCTCAGCCACTCATAACAGACTACATCTGTTATGAGTCTGTTGTGAATAATGCTTAGGTAGAATTTTTTTTGGCAGTAATAATAATAATAATAATAATTAATAGAGAGGGCGAAGGTAAGTCTTATTTACTGTGACTCAGACCTTTCAATTTTAATCGAGTGAACTTTCTCACTACAGGCTGCTTTCTGTGCTTTACCCTCTCGTGATCTGCTGGTGGTGTCTTCTCAAAAAGGCATCCAGGTAAAGTCATTCTCCGTCACAGGCAGGAAATTCTTTTACACGACATGTTAGTTATACTTCTCAAAAAAATGTTCATCTTAACAGCATATTTTCTCCAAAACAAATCTGTCGTATAGATGTATGAATCTGACGGCTCAATCATGGTGTACTGGCATGCTCTGGACACGCCGGAAGCACCTACCGGTAAAACTTACATAATACACAGTCTGTTCATCAATCCACCCATTCATTTGTGTGAGGTTAATTTGCACTGGAGAAGAATTAAATTAACCTATGTGAATATGTAAGCGGATATAACACAAGCACACATTTTAATTATTGAAAATGCATTAAAACTTGATGCATTTTCAAAATACAAAAACAACTAAAGCCTGGGGGTGCACTGACAATTTGGCCCCCCATTTCCATAATTTTGTGAGGTCTGTGATTGGCCGATACTTAAATGTGAAGCTGAACTTCTCCGCCGATCCTGTCTACCTCCGCAAACGTCCACAAAGGTCTAAAATTCAATCCGTGTCCTCTATTGCTCTGACAGAACCACGCCATGTCTGCACGTTTGCAGTGACTTTCTTTTATTACTACACTTATATCAGATCAAGCGTGCTAACCAGGCTGAATTCTGTTCCAGCACATGCAGTGTTTGCTCGAGGAATATCAGCCGTCTCTGACAATTACATATGTGTTGGTGAGTACAAAATAAATATATATTTTGCCATAAATGACCAAACTATTTAAACTGGTTATGTTGGTATCCAGGGGTTTCATCGGGGGCAGTTCTGGTGTTTGATGTTCCCTCTAAAGGGAGCAACATTACCCTGTCTGAGGTACTGGAGGAGCACAAAGAGGCCATCACTGATATTGCTTCAGAGTGTTCTGGCAGCCAGGTACATTGTGTATTTTTTTTTATTTTATTTTTTTTACTTTACAATTGTGTTATTTAGGAGTTGTTTCCACAAGTAATATTACCTAAAATAATTATATAGTACTATATGAACTATTTAAGAAGGCACAAATTGCATAATCCGTCCCGTTTACTGTCTTCATCCATTTAGGAGTTCTTAGCTAATCTGGTCACTGCAGATGACGGCGGGAACATGTGTGTGTGGAAGTCTGGAGAGGAATTTCAACTACTTAACAAGATCCCTGGTTTAGAGTAATACCCTAACTGCTTTTCTTCTTTTATAATCCAAATTTCTTACACAAAAGTTAGCTAAATTAAAGTATTGTAATGAAAACCGAACTGTAAGAATTTATAACTTATCTTTCGTTGCTTCCCCTCCCGTCCCCTCTTTCTCTCTCTCTTTTTTTTTTAAACTGATGTGTTGTTTGTTACTTTTGGTCTTCAGTTATTTTAGCCTGTCCACTTTCTTTTGCTTTTATGCCATAACATCTGCTTGCTTTACTTTTAATTTCTGAATAATATCGATCCTCTGTTTTCCACTCGTCCCTCAGCATGACCTGCTCGTCTGTCAAGCTGTGGAAAGGTACGGTGTTGGCGGGCTACGGCACGGGTCAGATCCGTCTCTACGAAGCGGTGACGGGAATTCTTCATGCTGAGGTCAACGCTCACGCTCGCTGGATCTACTCTCTGGACATCGCTCCCTTTTCTGGTCTGGTAAGTTGTTATCAACCAGATATCCCGCACGAGATGCCCACTTGAAGTAAAATATAACAAAACAGGTGTATGAACACCTTTAAAAGTTCATGTTTTCTTGTACATAAATTTGGCACGGGCCAGTATGAGATTCCACTTGTCGATAACCTTGAGTAAAAGCAACATCGTGCTACAGCATCTAAAGGAACACTTCACACAAAAACGTTTTAAGCAACAGTTATCCCTACTGCTGCATTAATAATATAACTTATTTATTACAGTTATGATAGCTTATTGAATTTAACGTAAACAGACTTTAGCAAAACGTTTGAATTAACGTTAGCTTTTTAATGTAAACTTGCCTACCATGATGGAAATTTGTCACGCTGAGGTCAGCAGAACATTTCTGCTGTTCTGCTTTGTATAACGTAACACAAGTTTGACATCTGATAATAGCTGGTTGATTGGTCGGGTTATCTGCAGAGATAGAGCCTACAGTTGGAGAAAACCTTGATCGCTGTGGCACTTTCTGAAGGAGCTACTTTATTTGCATTTTTGTAACTTTTCAAACATTAAGTTTGCCTGGTTTCAACTAAGTGAAGTATCTCCAGTATCAGCTTGTAACCAAGAAAACTATAAAGACAGTTAATCATTAAATTACCTTTAAGTGATTAAAATAACCTTTAGGGTTCGTCGGTAATCCAAGTGATCATATTTCAGCTGTGAATGGTACAGGTGTTAAACACTATAACTGTTGTCAAGCATTTTAAATTCATGCTCTCAGAAATCATAATCTTTGCATACTAGAAATGAATCGGTTCAAATCACATAGAAGTTCTTATTATTTGTAGATGGCTTTTTGCTAATGTGGGTTAAGAGGGCTTAAATTGCAAATACTACATTCTTACTCACTTGACGTTCTTGCCGAGTAAAGATATTTTTAGAAAATTCTGTTGTTTTATTTAAAAGGAAGACTGTTTCCAATACGTGACTAACTAAAAGTACTAATTCAAACACAACTTGGTTATTTGTAAATTTGGTTCATTTTAAACTTCTTTTCAACATGTCATGCTTGTGGGGGGGCAGTAAAAGTTCAGAAGTCATTGCACCTGCTTTACTCAAGCATCCTCTGCCTTTGGTTTAGCTCCTGTCTGCTGCTGAGGATTCCTTTGTCAGGGTTTGGCACCTGTCTATTACACCGGAAACCAACAGTGTGGAGGTAACTGATCAGTATGCAAACTACACTACTTTAATATATGTCTAGTGAGGGGTTTTTATTTATTCATCATGGGCATTAATGTCTTCAATTTTGGGCTTTTTAACATTGTATTTTCACTGTTCTTTTTTTTTAAGGTTTTAATCTGCTTCAGTCCATACAAGATAAAATTTAGACAGTCAAGCTCAGATATACATATACACACTGAAGCCACAGACGTTTGCTTTGACACACTGTAGGTTTTATGTAGCGGATGGATCATTAAAAGCCCAAAATAAATACGACACTTATGCTCATTTTGATGCAATGTAAACTTCTGAGCAGAACTGTAAATAAAAACCGTTTTAATTTGCTGTTCACTTGGTTAAATCTATTCTCCTGTATTTTCCCCGCCTCTGTGAACCAGAACCTAACTTTGTTTTTCTAACATCTTTGCAGATCGCTCACTTGCACAATGAATGTGTGACAGATACACAGATTTGTGGCGCTAAGTTCTGTGATGGAGATGGTTATGCTTTTGCAGTGACAGGTTATGATCTGAGTGAAATCATACGGTATGTACAGTCGTAGTTCTTTGTCATGTGTAAGGCTAAGGGCATGAATGTGAATTTGATATTTAGTACTTTCATATAAAGTGTATATTAAACATAGGTTTGTCAAAAGGGAGCATTTTGTGATTTT